AGGGCGTATGTGTTTGCTAGAGAGACAGAGAGTAAGAAATCACCCCATAGGGAGCATGGCCATGCTGTAATCCCTTCTTCATTCTCCTGTCAGGATTTTGGACACACAAACACATGCACCCAGCCTGAAGCCTCCTGATCCAGGACTTGAACCGCAATTGACCATGTGGGAGTCCAGAGACGTAACTGTTATGCCATCTGCTGGTTCCTCGCTGTGATTTTAATGTTCATTGCTGTAATGACTAAGAATAGTAACTATCTTTTCATGTGCTATATGCCATTTGTGTGTCCTTATGGTGTTGTGTCTTTTAAAATCTTTTACTTCTTTAAAAATTTGAATTGTTTTCTTATTGAATTTGAGAATCTTCGTATACTATTATTTTTCTCTGTTCTAAATTGTTTATTAGGTATGAATTTTACAAACATGACTGCTATTAGCAGTAACAGTGGGGTTGGAGAGTATTACACATTCTCCAAACTGCACGGCAAGGACCACCAATAGTCTGGTGGAACTTGTGGCCCTTTTCAAGGCCTAGCTCTTGTGGCTGCAGATATCAGCAGGTTCTTGGGCTGGTTTGGTAATCGCTGGGTATCAGGGTTTCTTCTGATAGTGTTATGGAATGGATTAATGAGGATAACCTCAGAGAATTTGTGTGTGGAATCTTCACCAACCCCATAAGAATTCAGGACTGTAAGAGACCATCAGTGGCATCCAGTTGCTCCTCTGCAACAGGTGAGAAGCTTCGAGCAAACTTTAGCTGGTTAGCACCATGATGGACAGGATGACCTTAGGCTGCACCCTTGGGAACTGGGCATTTGTGGCCTCTACAATGAACACAAATTCTATATGTGATGTACCCTTGCTTAGCCGTATTCTGCTTTACCCTGTGTGTGTGTGTGTGTGTGTGTGTGTGTGTGTGTGTATGTGTGTAGCCCTGTGGAGCTCAGAGAGCTGGTACTGCCAGCAGTGGACCTTCCAAAGAAAACTCATCACATTGGACTGCTTCTTCCTCCACAGCTCCTGAGTGGACTGGTGTGTACCCATCTTACCTTACCCGATGGCTGCCGCCAGACAGACGGGAAAGAAACTCTACATATTCTTGATACAAGTTCTTTATCAATTTGTGACTTTCTTTTAATTTATCTTTTTACATTTTTCAAATTTATATTTAATCACTGCACATCTTTACAGTGTACGACATGGTCATCCCCAGCATGAATATAGTGCATATTAGTAAAGTCAAAGATATTACCATGTATGTTACTTATTTTTTTAGAGAGATTTTTACTGTAGGGTGCATGCACTCGCTGGAGAGACACTGAGATGGAGAGACAGTGAGAGACAGAGTGATAGAAAGTGAGAAAGTGGTCATGTGGCAATCCCTTCTTCTCCTCCAGTACTCCAGTATCCTCTTCGGATTTTGGGCATTCATGCGCACGTGACTGGTGTTTTTTTTCTTTTTTTTTTTTTGAGAAGTTTTTGCTATAGGGCACATGCACTCACCAGAAAGACAGAGAGAGACAGAGAGATAGAAAGCGAGAAATAACCCCCCTCCCCTTTGTGGGGATGGCCACACCATGATTCCTTCTCCTCCATTCTCCTCTCGGGATCTTGGTCATGCACGCATATGTGCACAGCGTGAGTTTAAGCCACTGGGTCTGGGACTTGAACCACAGTCGACTACATGGGAGTCCAGTGACATAGCTATTATGCCAACTGCTGGTCCTGACTGGTGTGATTTGATCTGCTGGGTCCAGGGCTTGAACCATGGTCAACTACATGGGAATCCAGCAATGTAACCACTATGGCAAAATAACGTATATGTTATTTTATATATATATATATATATATATATATAATGTAAGATATCTGTCTATCTATCTCACAGTTTCTTTATCAACTCAGCAGTTAACAGGTATCTAGGATTTTTAAAAATATCTTGGCTATTGTGAATAATGCTACAATGAATATGGTGGTACAGATCTCTTTACCATGTGGTGATTTCATTTTCTTTGGATATATACTCAGAATGGAACTGTTGGGTCAGATAGCCATTCTATTTTTACTTTCTTTAGAAACCTTCATGTTTTCCATACTGGCTGCACAAATCCACATTCCCGTAAAAAGTGTATGAAGACTCCATTTTCTCTACCCCCTTACCAACTTGTTCCCTTGTCTTTTAGCTAACAGTTATCCTAACCATTAGTAGGTGGTATCTCTGAGTGGTTTTGATTTGCATTTCCATGAAGATTAGTGATATTGCAAACCTTTTCATATAGCTAGCTGTTGACTATTTTCATGTCATTTTTGTAGAAATATGTTTAGGTTCTTCACTCATTTTAAACATGGGTTATATGTTTCTTGCTATTTGAGTTGAGTTGTTCATAAATTTTGAATATTGACCCCTTATCAGATTCATGGTTTGGAAATATTTTTCCTAGACTTTGCCTTTTCATTTTGTTGATTTTTTTTTTCTGTGCAGGAGCTTTTAGTTGGATGCAGCCCCATTGATTTATTTTTGCTTTTTAGCTTGAGCTTTTGGTGGGGTATCCATGACATCATTGACAAAGCCAGTGTTAAGGAACTTTTCCACTATATGTTCCTCTAGGAGTTTTATGTCTTCAGGTCTTTTGTTTAGGCCTTTTCTGAATGTGGAGATTCAGTTTCCCCAGCACTATTTGTTGAAGAGACCATCATTTCCCCATTGTGGTCTTTTTGGTTGTTGTTCCTTTGTTGAAAATTAATTGGCTATGTATTCTTGGACTTGTTTCTAGGCTCTCTCTAGTTTTTAATCTGTTCCACTGGTTTATATGTCTGTTTTTATGCCAGCATCATATTATTTTGATTACTATTGCTTTGAAATATCATTTTAAATCAAGAAATGTGATGCCTCCAACTTGTTTTTCTTTCTCAGAATTGGTTTGGTTATTTGGGGTCTTTTGTGGCTTCCTATGAATTAGGACTGTTCTATTTCTGTGAGGAATGTCATTGGGATATTGGTAGGGATTGCTTGAATCTGTGTATTACATTGGGTGGTGACTTAATCTATTATAGCAGTGTTAACAGAAAAAACTGAGTCTGGGAACATTTAAGAGAATAGAGGTTAATTATTTTTATTATTTATTATTTTTATTGATATATTTTTAATTATTATTCATACATTAAATCACTATACATCTTTTTATTTTGAGAGGTTTTTGCTATATGGCACATGCGCTCGCCAGAAAGACAAAGACAGATAGAAAGCAAGAAATCACCCCCCCAGGGGGATGGCCATGTCACAATCCCTTCTCCTCTTTTCTCCTCTTGGGATCTTGAGCACACATGCACACGTGCCTGGCGTGAGTTTAAGCTACCGGGTCCGGGACTTGAACTGCAGTTAACTACATGGGAATCCAGCGACACAGCCATTATGCTAACTGCTGGTCCCTACATCATTTATTTTTGACTCACAATTCTGGTGGGTGGAAAACCCAAAGGTAGGCCTTTTTTACAGCATGGCCAATAGAAGCACAGATGATGGTAGGTATATGCAGAGAGAGGAATGAGCTGCAGGTAGCTCTTTTTCCCTTATAGCAACCAACTCTAATAAAATAACACCTTCTCATGAGAGGTAGAACTCAGTGTCTCATCATTAATCTGCACGTGAGATTGGCTTCTCTAGGATGCAGTCACCTTGATCTAATCACTGCCCATTAGGCATCACCATCTTCTAACGTCAAATTCCAAAGCATGAAACTTTGGGGATGAACCGTTATCCCAACTATAACAGGTGGTATGGACATTTTAACACTATTGATTCTTCTAATCCATGATCACAGGATATTTTTCCATTTAATTGTGTCTTCTCCAATTTCTTTCTTCAGTTGTTTATATTTTTTCAGTATACAGGTCTTTTATCTCCTTGATTAAATTTAGTCCTAAGCAGTTTATATTTTTGATGCTATAGTAAATGACATTGTTTTCTTGATTTCTTTTTGTGGCTAGGTTTTTGTTTGTGTATAGAAGTACCACAGATTGTGGGTTGATTTTGTATCTTTACTGCAAAGTTACTGAATTTATTAGTTGTATAGGTTTTTTAGTGGTATCTTTGGAGTTTTGGACATACATTGCATTACACAATGTCATTTCCCAAGAGATCATTTTACTTCTTTTTTTTTTATTTTTTTATTTTTAAAGGTTTTTGCCATTGGGCAAGTGTGCTGGCCAGAGAGAGAAAGTGAGAAACTACCCACTGGGGGGATGGCCACACAGTAATCCCTTCTCCTTCATTCTCCTGGGGTTATGGGCACGTGCACACACATGCCTGGCGTGATTTTTCAGGCCTCCAGATATGGGATTCTGACTACTGTCAGTCACATGGGAGTCCAGTGCCATAACTACCATGCCACCTGCGAACCCTACTTATTTCTTTTCAATTTGAATATCCTTTAGTCTTTTTTCTTATGATGCAGTCACCACGATCCAATCACTGCCCTTTAGACCTCACCACCTCCTAATATCAAATTCCAAAGCATGAAACTTTAGAACAGGAAACTTACTTGTCTGATTGCTCTTGATAGTATTTCCAGGACTATGTTGGATAGAAGTGGCAAGAGTGGGCATCCTTGCTTATATCAGATTTAGAGAAAAGTTTCCAGTTTCTCCCCATAGATTATGATATCAGCTATGAGTTTTTCATAAATATTATGTTTAGAAACTGTCCTCTAAACTGTTGAGAGTTTTTACCAGAAAAGAACGTTGATCTATATGGAATGCTTTCTTTGCATAGATTGAGATAATCGTGTGGTTTTTATCTTTCAGTCTGTTAACGTGCTCTATCACATTGACTTTCATATATTTCATGTGCTGGTTTAGCCTTGTAAACCCCTGGCTTATAATTTTTAAAAATAATTCTTCATGATCTTTTTTTTTTTTTTCTCGGAGGCCTTTGTGGTAGTATCTCGACTTTCATTTCTGATTTTATATATTTAAGTCTTCCCTGTTTTATGCTTTTCCACAGATGTACTCCTCAATTCAATGTGGAATACCACAAAGAAAACGCAGGCATTCTTTTTTCTCTCACATCCTAGTGCAAACCATAAGAAAAACAGCAGATTCAGGGCCAGCAGTTGGCGTAAAGACTATGTTGCTGGACTCCCATATAGTCAACTGAAGTTTGACTCCCGGATCCGGTGGCTTAAACTCATGCCGGGTGCATGTGCATGCCTGCCTAAGATCTCAAGAGGGGAATGGAGAAGAGATTGCTGCATCGCCATCCCCCCTGGGGGGTGGTTTCTCATTTTCTGTCTCTGTCTTTCTGGTGAGTGCATGAGCCCTATAGCAAAAACTTCTCCTTTTTGGACGTAGTGCTCTAGAATTTTCAATTATGTCAAGCTGGTTGGTAGTCTGTTTCTGGCATGGGTCCAGCCCTGATCTGTTTCACAGATATAGTCATCTATGTCCTTACTAATTTCTTGTCACTTGTTCTACTAGTTATCGACAGAGAATGTTGAAATGTCTGTCTGTAAATATGATTTGTCTCTCTCCTGAGGTTTTATCAGTTTTTGCTTCATACCTTCTGAAGCTTGTCATTAGGTGCATAACCATTTATGCTTATTATGTTCATTTGATGAATTGACCCCTTTATCAGTAGGAAATCACCCTCTTTATTACTGGACAATTTCTTTGTACTAGAAAGCAAGAACATTTACTATGTCTGATGTCACGATAGCCACTACTACTTTTTTAATTTTTAGGAGAGGTTTTTGCCATAGGGCGCAAGCACACGCCAGGAAGACAGAGATTATTCTCCTTTAGGTATCTTGGGCACACACACACATGCAGCTGGCGTGAGTTTAAGTCACCAGATCCGGGTCTCGAACCGTGGCCGACTACATGGGAGTCCAGCGACATAGCCATTACACTAACTGCTGGTCCCAGTCACTACCACTTTTAAAAATCATTGTTAGCATAGTATATTTCCCCCCTTCCTTCTACCTGTGTGACTTTATATTTAACACTACCACTTTTGAAAATCATTGTTAGCATAGTATATTTCCCCCCTTCCTTCTACCTGTGTGACTTTATATTTAACTCTTGCTTTCTAAAAATCTAGTCTATTGATTGCTGGTTCTAATTGGAGTGGTTAGACCATTTATGCCAAATGAGATTATTGCTATAGTTGCATGTAAATTTATCATCTTGATCCAGTATTTGCACTGGTTGTTCACATTACCAGGTTCACAATAGCCAAGACATGGATCCACCAATGTGTCCATGAACAGATGAGTGGATAAAGAAAATGTGCCAATGGAATACTATTATTATTTTTTTTAAAGAGAGATTTTGTTTCAAGTCGTGTGCACTTGCCAGAGAGACAGAGAGAGAGAAAGAAAGACAGAAAGCAAAAAATCATCCCCCAAGGGGGGAATGGACACCACAATCCTTCTCTACTCTTCTCTCGGGATCTTGGTCATGCATACACATGTACCCAGAGTGCATGAGTTTTAAGCTTCTGGGTCCAGGATTTGAACTGCAGTTGACTATATGGGAGTCCAGCGATGCACCATTACACCATCTGCTGGTGTAAAAAGAATACAATCCAGCCTTTTAAAATTAAATGGGTGAGACTGGAGAGAGGGGGAGAGAGAGCGAGAGAGTGGAGCGAAAGCACTCCCCAATGGAGTGTGGTTATGCCGCAACTTCTTGTCTACCGTTTTTCCATCCTGTCATGATTTTGGGTGTGAACACACATACAGCATGTTTTTCAAGTCACTGAGGTTGGGATTTGAACTGTGGCTGGCCCTGTGAAATCTGGTTCTCTTAACCACTAGGCATGGGTTAGCCTGATGGTTTATAGGTTTTAGCAAGTTTGAAAGAATTTTGCTCATTAGTTTGTTGGGTTTTTTTTTCCCCCTAAATTATGGCATGCTTTTATGATGAAGTAGCATTAATCATTTTAACTGTTTGATGACAAGGTAACTGAAAATAAGCCAAATTTAAAGTGCACACACAGTATAAGATCAACCATGTAGGGGCCAGCAGGTGGTGAGGGTGTTAGGGTGTTGGACTTCCACATGGCCTACCACAGTTCAAGTCCTGGTCCTGGCAGCTCACTTTCTCATTTTCCCTTTCTTTCTGTCTCTCTCTGGTCAAATTGAAGAAAATAATAATAGCGAATAAAATTAAATAATCCTTTAAAAAAAGATCAACCGTGTAAAACAAGCAGATAGAAGTACAAAAAAAGTTAATAGTAGGAAAGTTAGAAGTAAATTAATTTTAATTGGCAGAAGCTATCTATGTTCACTAGAGAGAAAGAGAGAGAAAGGGGGAAAGAGGAGAGAAATTTCTCTAGAAATTTGACTTAGTGGGCCAGCAGATGGTACAGTGGTTAAGGTGCTGGACTCCCACATGGCCGATTGTGGTTTGAGTCCCACCCAGACTTGGTGGCTTGAAACTCACACTGGGCATGAGTGTGTGTGTACCTGAAATCCCGAGAGGAGAAGGTATTGCAGTGTAACCATTCCCCTGAAGAGTGATTTCTCACTTTCTTTCTGTCTCTGTGTCTGTATTTCTAGCAAGTGCATGCACCTGATAACAAAAATCTCTCTTAAAAAAAGAAAAAAAATTTTGATTTTTTTCTTAAATTTCTTCCACATTTTTATTTAACATGTTTAATCTTTCTTCTAGTCCCTTAAGCATATGAAATATCATTGTAATAACTTTAAATATTTTTGCCTACTCATTCTATCATCTGTGTCATTTCTGGTCAGTTTCAACGGTCTGATTTGCTTTCTCATTGCAGTTAGTTTCTGGGCAATGCCATTACTCTATTAACCAAATCTGACTTGGACCATAATTCATTCTTCCCTTTGGGACTCTGTGATTTGGAGCTGATTATCTACTTTGGGGCCAGCCCTCTAGCTGGGTGGTCCTTCTAGCGAGAGTAGTGGTGCTTTCTTACTTTCTCTCTCGCTTTCTTTCTCTTGCTCTCTGTAGCAATTGCATGTTCCCTTTGACGAGAATTTTTAAATTTTTAAAACAATAAATATAATTATAATTTTATATGTTCATTTTTATTTTTGAGAGGTTTTTGCTACAGGGTGTGTGCACTCGCCAGACAGACAGAAAGATACATAGAGACAGAAAGCGAGAAATCACCCCCCAGGGGGGACGGCCACACCGCAATCCCCTCTCCTCCATTCTCCTCTCAGGATCTTGGGCATGCACACACACGTGCCTGGCGTGAGTTTAAGCCACTGGGTCTGGGACTCGAACTGCGGTTGACTATGTGGGAGTCCAGGGACATAGCCATTACGCTAACTGCTGGTCCCTTATGTTCATGTTTATTACCTTGACAAATTCACAGCAGCTACAATATTGTACAAAATAAAAAAAAAATTTTTTTCTATTTGGTTATTTGGCCAATTTTTTTTGACTTCAGCAAGGGTCCTTTGCATGGGGGTCTAGGGGAAGTGGAAGACCGCCACCCTGCTATTGTGCTAAGAGTCATTATTGCAAACAGAGCAGAAGTGTGGACTGCACATGAAGGGCCTCTGGGGCTGTCCAGAGTCATTGCATGACTGAGGAAGAGGCAGCAACTGTTTTAAGTCCCACTGGTGGGACCGATGGGCTGCCTGGGACAGGATGCTGTACCCAGACCAGCAGCTTAGAGTAACTCCTCCCTGTTAACCCTCCAGTGCTGGAAACTGTCCTTTCCTGTACTGTAGTACCACAACTTCAGAAAAGGAAAAGGTGCCTGATATATTATTTCATTTAATTCTTTTTTCTTTTTAGTTTCTTCTTCTTCTTTTTTCTTTTTTTTAAATATTCGATCATTATACACCATTTGGCTTGTAAGGAAAATTTATCCAACATGAAGTACATCTCAGACCAGTCCAGTTGAGAATATTATACACATTATCGTCAACAGGTAATAAACAATTTCTGTGTCCCACAAATGTCTCTCTTTCCTATTTTTTCTCCCTGATTTCTTTCTCTATATATTCCCTCATTGGATTCTAACAATCATCTCCTGAAGTTGATATTAAGTCCCTGGTGCAGGTGAAGAATCTGAACTTTGCTTGAGGTCACATACCTGGGAAGTCATGGAGCCGAGATTTGAACACAGGCTGTCTGACTCTATAGACCATGTTGTTTTCATATACCAGTTGACTTCAAAATGTGTGTATGTGGTTGAGGAGGCATCCCAATACTGGAACTCATGAATGATCTTCATAGTGAGCGAGACTAATGACTTGGAACTTGGCACTATGCTTTGAAACATACATTTTTGCCAACTTGAAACACCCACATTTCTCTGTATAGACTTCATTTCCAGAACTTACTACTAATACTTGTATCACTTAAAAAAACTTATTTACTTATTTCTTCTGTGACTGAGAGGGACAGGAAGATAGAGACAAAGAGAATGCACCCCCAACAAAGCCCTAATGCCGCCATCCACTCCCATCTCCTCCAGCCCCCTCTAGCCAGATTATGGGCATATACATGCCTAGCTGGCAGTCTTTAGATGTGAACCTGGAACCCTCCTATGTATGTCGATCTCATCGGAAATGGTGCTTTGTCACTGTGCCACCATCCAGCTCCATCTACAAAAAGTTTTCCTTTCTACTCTTTGTCCTATAGCCAGAATAATAGAACTCAGATGCAATCTACATAAGTAGATTTCCCAAGATGGCCTAAGGACATGGGGACAAGGAGGAGCAGCAAATATTTCACTATTCTTAGTTCCACTACTTAATTTACATTTTTCCACGCCTCTTCTGATTTTTCTTAAGTTTAAGGGTTTTGGCATTATAATACAAGTAATTCTAATTGTGGGTTTTGGGGAATCATTGCTATTTGTTTTTAAAGCATATAGATTATTATAACAAAGTGTTTTTGTTGTTGTTTAATAAATTCTTATTTTTCTAAATGTACAGTTGGTCATGCCTGTTAATGCATCTTCACCAGCAGCTGGGGCATCCCCCCCCCCTTGGTATTTCTGGTGTAAATTACTTGCGCTCTGTGAATTGAAACTAGTTTGATAAGTTCTTTACTAAGACACTCCTGAAGTGCCACCCTGGCCAGGGAACTGAGAATCTTTAACACGGCTGGGGTTGTGAGCTTATGGTTG